CGCGCCCGGCCGCCGGCTCCGAGGCGCATGCGCCCCGTGCTGACGCCGCTGGCGCCATTTTGAGTGCGGGCAGACAGCAGCCCCTAGCCTCCAACTCCCGGCCGGGCCCGGGAAGTGACCCGGGCGGGTAGTCCAGGCCCCTCCGGAATGAGGGACACAGGCGGTCGGTGTCCCCGGCCCTTTTTTACGGATCAATAAACTTCACAGGGACGGCGCCGGGGAGAAGGGACGCGGGACTCCAGTCCGAGCGAGAGCCTTGAATGCCGCTCCCAGAGCAGGTGCACGCGCCAGGCGCGGCGGCTCGCGCCTGTCATCCCAGCCTTTGGGGAGGCCGAGGCGAGAGGAGTGTCTGAGCCCGCGGGTTCGAGACCCGCCCGGGCAACGCGGCGAGACCTCGTCTCTGCAAAATCAAAAAACGAGCCGGGCGTGGTGGCGCGCGCCTGTGGTTCCAGCTCCTTGGAAGGCTGAGGCGGGAAGCTCGCCCGAGTCCAGCAGGTCGAGGCTGCGCTGGCCATGAGGGTGCCTCTGTCCTCCAGCCTGGGGAGCAGAGTGAGACTCCGACCCATAATAACAATAATAACAATCTGAACATGATGATCCGGGCTCATTCGAGTAGCACACGTTGAGCTCCTACTGCATACCTGGGACACACCGGGGGACACGGGCGGCTCCATCCCTGCCCTTGGACGCAAGCGTGCGACCAGGCCGTGGTGACAGTGTGGCCGGGGCGCAGCGGGGGACACAGAGGACACGGGGCGCCGGGGGAGCTCGGAGGGAGAACCTGGCCCGGCCGAGGGCCTCATCCGGGAAGGCTTCCCGGAGGAGGGGCCGGGGGCAGCAAAGACCCGAAGAGAGAACGGGAATCAGACGGAGAGAATGAGCAGGTCGGGGTGAGGCTCGATCGGGGAGGGCCTCCCGGGAGAGGGAACGGCCGGTGCAAAGGCCCTGAGGATGAGAACGGCCTGGCAGGCGCTGGCCCCCGAGCCGTCCCCGAGCCCGTCCAGGGCGACAGG